CCCCACCTTAAACGAAATTGGGTGAATACATCTAATACTACTGATTTACTGGTAGTCTCGAAACAATACTTAAATACTTATTGTACTTACTTATTGTTGGGGGGATTTTCAAATCGTATGAAAGTGCATGAAAAAGAGATTCGTAGGTCGATCTCAACCGATGAGGACGGCTGAATCGCTTTGTACTGCAGCCGCTTGGCTTTTATAAAACGTTCAGGTTGACGCAATCCCTGAGACCTCCTCTCTTGTTTCGGGTGAAAACGGGCTGAGCTTTCGTCGACTGCGTCAATCTGAACGTTGCATAAAAGCCAAACGGCTGCGGTACAACGCGATTCATCTGGTGAGATCGACCTACGAATCTCTTCTTCATGCACTTTCATACAATATGCAAATCCCCCCAACAATGTTATCTCGGGAAATTCATCGAAACCCAGTTTCTCTTCGTATCTAAAATAATTATATTAATACTACTCAGACGTACCCTCTGAACAGTGTGATTCTGGTCAATCCGTCTATTCATTTAATATGTTTGAGTAATTGAATGAAAAAATTTCGCTCTCTCTCTCTTTCCATTTTTCAACAACGAGAGAGACAGAAAGTGGTCTCACTCGTGGGTGGAATAGGGGCCTAAATACTGTCAATTCCCGTCTCTAGGGCCATTCTCATTCGGGACTTACACCATTGCAATTGCTGATTCAAATCCATTTTGGCTGCAGACACACCCTCGTTGGCTTGAGTAACTTCACCCTCATCGTCCAGGGCAAGCACAAACGACGCCTCTGTGTCCCCCATTGCGGTGTGTCAGGGTATGATCAGGACTAACGAACACAAACTGGCAGCAGACGTCCGGAATCCGCTTGAATTCGCGGGAGAACCGAATCTCAGACAGTAGGTTCCAGAAGAACAGAGTCAAACTCAAGTTGAGCCTCGAGTGAGTTGAGTCAACCACAATGGCCGACGTGAACTAGCCTTTCACACAATCATCCTTTACACTGGAACACACATGCTTGTTCACAAGCCCTGCTGGCCCATCCTCGTCAGCCGGGTAGCGAAAGCAGAAGCGACGTCTACAGAACTGCCCTTCGAGCCAACTCGACCGGGTGGCAAAGTGCTCTTCTCCCCAATGCCTTGGCAACCGAAATCCGGCTATTTGGGAGCGGTTCTAGATTGGGCAGGTCCGGACGAGTGCTAATAGAAAATTCCCTGAGTTGGTACGAATCACACAAACACCATGAGACGGACGCGACGAGACATAAATAAGCACTCAGTCACACGCGTAAGTAGACACACTTAAGGCCGAATGTGAAGGCAAGAAAGTGTACCCGTGCTTAGACGGCACATGATGTAGCATGTCTCTGCTTCAAGCTCGCCCTACCGGGTAAACCAACATAATAATCGCGGCCTCGAGACATGTGCATTTCAATGCCAAGTGATGTGCATGCATGCATGTCGGTGTGCATCGGTTGAGGCCGTCTGTGTTGTGCGGTTAGGCGGTGGTTGTCTTGGGCGAATACGTCTTAGCAGGTCTTAGCGACTTGTCTGCAGGCGTCTTGGCGTCAACCGGCAGAGAAAGTGTTGTCCCGTGCGCATAGATACGGTTACTGTGCCTCGGGACATTCACGAGTCTATCTGTTGTCTAATGCGATGAGCATTGCAGACTGAAGTAGTTTCTTGCATGTGTGCGCGTGTATATGAGTATATGCGTGTGTGTGTGTGTGTGTATAGATAGGCGTGGTCTAGATGGCACACACAAGTGTGTGTTAAGCTGGAAGTGGACAGGACAGTAGTTGGGCTTGAGAAAGTAAGTGTACCTGTCAGTTCGCCCTGCAGCTGGCCAATCACATACATCGTATGAAACTATTAGTACACGGCTTTCGGCCACATAACAAATAGATGACATGCATATAAGCCGAAAGGTCTGTTTACAGCATAAAACGTAGGGAAAAAAGTGCTGACGCTGACCTATTTATAGATGCTCTCAATAAGCTGGGCGTATACAAGTGAAACTAAAACGAATGAATCCTTTACAGATAGACACACATACACAGACACACACATACAGTAGCTAGAAGTTCGGCTTATGGAGTATGTGGAATAAGCAAATGAAGCGGCAGCCTTTCGATCTGGAAGCATTTGTATGATGGACCAATGGAGAAACTAAAGTATGCCTTAAAAGATACCTGAATAACTAAAGGTGTAAGTAAAGTGATAAATAAATATTTAATAAACAATTTAACGGGGATAGAAGGATTGGAAAATGGAAAGACGAGATGTGATCAATTATACAGATTAAAATAGACAAAAAAATTAGACATTTAATAAAGTAACTTGACAAGGACTTGCTATCTCAGAAGTGGCCAGTGCAAGGGAATCGTAATTTGGCCTCACTGGAAGTCTTGCAGTTGTGTCTGTAGATTTGTGCTAATTATCACCAACACCAATTCCCAAGATGTACGCACAGTTTCTCATCATTACAAGGATAAACAACTTTTCCATCCTCTCCATTATCTATAACCTTTTGTTTTGTTACATGCTTTACTCTACTCTTGCCTAAACTATTTAGTTGGCCACTTTTTCATTCATTCATTCATTTTTCAACCTCAAAGCCCTGTACTATTGTTTCGTCTAAATTTAATCTATGTTCAATCATATATCAAATATTTATTTATCATTTCACTTACATCTATCATATGAATGATCCCAGACTTAAAGGCTGCCTCTCCGTTTGCTTATTCTGCATATTCCCTACGCCGAACCTTTTACTCACTGTTTGTCTTTCCGTTTATTCGTAAAATTTTCTTATATATGTATTCCATATATAAAAATAAATAAATAAATATGTATATATATATATATATATATATACATATATATTCTGGGCTGGTAATGCAAAGACCAAGAGGAAAGAAATGATGTAAGTATCATTTTTAGTACTTAACTTTGTGATCACAACTTTAAAATGTACGTAGGCCAAAGCAATTCGACTTGTTATTAGTTCAACAAAATGCCGCCCGAATGTGATATACCACTAGCCTTGGCGTAGGCGTACACATAAAACCAAAAGCCAGCCTTTACGAATGGATATATCATTGAGGATTAGATAATGGTTGAAAGTTTATTCCATTTTTTTACTGAAAGTCACAAAAGGCCCATGCCAAGTATGGCTAACCTAATTTGGCGAAGATATGAGGACCAAAATGTTGTGGCCTCTGGTATGGAGGTCCGAGTCGGATCAACCGATCGAAAGAGAGCAGGTCGGGGTGACTAGTAACTGTGATGAGGCCACACTAGATTTGCGAAGAAAATTTGGGTTTCGAGGAATCTCTTGTTTCATACTTGTTGAGCTTACTTCCATTTCGAGTGAAAGTGTTGGGTG